TGGAGCATGAGGAACTTCACAAAAAATTTAAGCACGCAAAGTGTTGCTTGTGCATAAAGGAAATATTCATTAACAAAGGCATAAACACCAAAAAAAATTGGAGCAGCTGTTTCATACTGGTACCACTCTGATGGAGCTATGGGCCCGCTGGAGGAGGATTCCTGAGCAAAGGCTGGACAATGGCAGAAGTAGATAAAAGCAGTTCAACATAGGCGCATAACGTGATAAAAACTGTATTAATTGTTCTTGTATGTACCGGTTCCAGTTCCATCATCCTGAATATTCTGTTTAGTTTTGAGGGTTCATAGGGGTCAGGGAACTGGCTAGAGCTGGCCCAAATGTGTCGTGAGAAGAGAGGTTGAAGAGAGAAGTGACATTTAAATTGGAGATACAATCAATGTAAATGTGAGGAAGTGTGACAGGGGACCAGGAATTGCATAGAGATAAAACAGGAGACGCTCAGTTGACATTACAGAACCAAGAAGGATATTCAGCAGCAGACAGGCAGTTGATTAAAATACAATCTCAAATGCATCAGTGATTTTAGAAGCTGAAAGTTTATTGAACAGCTAAGAGATTTCAATGCTGAGAATATCCAAACCAGCCCTCTCTTTCTAAAAAATCAGTGTCCCGTGCCTGCTGATGGTCACGTACGGATGCTTGGGGAAGGAACGGGAAGTTAGATCACACAGAGGGTGCCTTTTCGTGCCTAAAGCAATCTGACACACACAGTTCAAGGACTTTGTGAGCCAGACACCATTTCCGTATGCTTGTCTTTAATAGCGTTGTTTGGGTTTTTTTCTATCTGTATATTCTTGTCATCCCGCTTACACTTCTGGCTTCCGTGTTGTGGCAGTAAGTCTCGCGGCTGTAATTATGGTTTATGTGATGTAGTCCAGCCTTTCCATTTATTTATTTATTTTTATAAACCTGCTGCCTGATTTCATAATTTCATGGATTTCATTAGCAGGAATAGCCAGTTACATTAAGAAAAACCTCTTTTTAAAGAGAGAGCCAGTCATGACACAAGGCTACCTCTCTAAGCCAGGCTTTCGGTAATTACTCACCGGTGGGTAGTTCTCGTTACCTGTAGGAGACACAGTATTTACTGTCTGACTGTCTTCTTGCCGTGTCCTTACGGTGAATAAAGTTGTGATTCCTGGATATTTCACAATAAGCTGCTAATTACTCAGAATGCAACGCTTGGCCCATTGAACGCGCAGCAGTGCGCACACTTTTCTGTAAACGTGAACGGGCGGCTTTCGAGGTGCGTATCCTGGGACCAGGGCCTACCTGTCCTAGAGCTCAGTGGTAGAACCTTTTTTGACCGATAAAACCAGATTTCTGTCCCCAGACTCCCTCATACGTAATAACGGGCAAAGGCCAGGTTGTCTCGCTGTGTTCCACCATGCTGTACTTGCTGGCCCTCGCTTTTAGTTAAGATGTTTACGTATGGTCATGACCACAGAACAGGTTGGTTTCCGAGGCCCAGAACATTAACAGATCTCTCGCTAATTCATAGGTTTAATGAGACCAAAATCAGAGACTTCCTGTCAAAATCACAGGAAGTTTTTTTAATTAAAAGTAGGAAACTGCTCCTTCCTGTTGGGCTTTGTGTGGCCAACCGTGTTCATGTAAAGCAAAGTTTTGCGAGCGAGTACTGAATATCCTAACCTTTACCCCTTTGTTTGTCTCTTTCTAGGAGAAGCTCTGCCTACCACATCACATCCTAGAAGAAAAGGGCTTGGTAAAAGTGAGCATAACAGTTCAAGCATTGCTAGATGTAACCACAGTGAAACAAGCTTTGTTCACATGAAACTGCTCTCTCTGCTGTTACCAGCTCCACTGTGCCATCAAAGAATCAAAACACTGCCCATCTTTTCAAACTGCATTGGAAAAAAAAAAAAACCAAACCCCAGTGCTCCAAGAGTATTCTTACACCTCTGATTTTAAGATCACCTTGCAGACTGTACGCACGCGTCGAACTACAAACCAGAAACGTTTTATAGAGCAAATTGGCACTTCACTGCTTTTATAGCTCACTTTGTACTGTCCTTACTAAAATAGCCACCTCTCTGCCACTTAAAAATGTGCGGAGTACACAGCTGTCTTGCAGCAAGATACCTTCATCTTCTGAAACTTAAGATGATCATTGTAATCATTTGGGGGGTGGGGAGGAGGGTGAGCGATTCAGACTTCCACCACGTTAGGTTTTTCTGCAGTTGCTTCAGGCTATGGCCTTTCAAAAATATCCTGACATAAAATATTTATATAAATATTATTTATTAGTGAGTTGTTATTCATCCTTTGGATGCAAAATGTAAATTAGGAAACTGTATTTTATTACTGCTTTTTTGTGGTTAAACACTTTATTTTAATATAAATATTTAGTTATTTTTTATTCTACTTGGTGTGCAGTAGCTCTAGACCTCCGTAAATTGTATTTTCTAATATGCAAGATAAAAAGCAAACAAAATAGGTGCTTTGATTAAAAGAAGAGCTAGCTGGAATGGCATTCGTTATTTCTTGAATTTGTGGAACATTGGTAGAAGAGTTGTCTGCATTCCATTGAGTTTCCTACATTCCAGTAGCACTTTTCCCCCCACCGGACTAAATTGGCTGAAACTGAGAGCACACCCATTTTATTTGTATATAGATGTTTAAAAAAAAAAAAAAAAAAAGGAAATATGTAAACTTGAAAAATAAATGTGAACAAGTATTTTTGATTGCTTATTTTACTATGCACAAGACATTTAACTTTTGCCACAACAAAAACGAATGATGAGCATTAGGATCTTGTGTCTTGAAATACAATTTTGCACTGCAACTTGATTTCTTGTAAAGACTACAGCACTACAGAAACAAGCGATAAAAAATAGCACAAGAACATTTAAGGAGAAGATTTACCAGGTAGCCAAAAAATTTTCATTGTTTTCTTCCGTGATTCCTTCGAGAGGAGATGAAATTATTAAAATTGCCAAAGGCAGTCTCAGAGACCTGATCCTCCAGCTCCGACCTGCCTGGGTACAGTGCTTCTCCTCGCCGTCTCCATCGTTTTCCCACAGAATTAAGCACGACATTCCCTAGGGAATGTTTGCAGGATCAGACCTCTAATCCCACGTCAGCAATAGGAAATAAAGCGCTCTTTCTTATCACTGCTCTAAATTTTTGGAAGAGATTTTTTTTTTTTTTTAAAGCATTATTATTAAAACATCACACGTTTTAGATCGAAAAGTTCCAGCGCGGCGACTCTCACAGTATCGGGGACATCCATTTTTCTGTCATAGCGGAAGCTAGGGATGTAGCTTCGGCAAGGAGGACGGGAAAGCTGCATGTGGTGAAAAGGGTCGGTGGTGCACGCGAGCAGGTAGTGCGAAATGCTAAATAAATAAATAAATGAAAGGAGGCGACGCGTGGTGGGAGAAGCAAATATTTAAGCAAGAGAATGTGGAGAGAACTATTGGATAAAGACTTTCTGGAAGAATGATGCATACTTGTCAATACTACTACAATTAAAACTACCGGTGTCCCAATAGCAGATTTTTTTTAATCATTAAGACGGTGTTTGGATGCAGACTTACGCGCTTCAACACCGCAGCCTGCCCACGTGCTGGGACCTGTTGACAGCAGCGCGTTAGGAGGAGGAAGGCGGACTCGCAGCCAATGAGCCATAGGGTATGCACACGGAATATCCAGTTACTTCAACCAAAGCAAACGCGTTTATTTTACAGAGGGAACATTGACTTAAGTTGTGATTGAGTGGCAGCTAGCATACTGTTTCCTATAAAATGTACTGCGCACTTTAACACTAAATTAAAATGTATTTTAATATTTTACAGAGCTGCACAAATATCTGTTTTGTCAAAAAGCACGAGCAATGTAAAGAAAATTAAGTTTTCGAGTCAGAGTTTATCAAATTTTAGAAGCATTCAAAGATCGAGTATAAAAATAGGAATATTGATTTCTGCTTCCTGAGGGATAAAATGCAGGTTTCCTGAGTATTTTTTTACAATGTATATATGGCAACATGAAGCTTTGTAATTATTATTTTGACAAATCTTGGTTTTTCATAATTAAAATCTTGTTTTTTCTCCTGACAGCGTCTTTCAGTATTTGCTTGAGGTTGGCTGTAAATAAATAGCTCTAAATATTTTGTAATACAGCTTTTTTTATGCAGTCTTAACCTGTACGGCTAAAAAGAGAATCTTCATGAATCTTTGTATACTATTTATATGTGCAATAAACCATGCATGGCGAATCTATACCACCCTAAGCAGTGAACATAATGTATATAGGGCACCTTTACCCTAGTTACAACTAAAACTGTATGATGTGTAGAAACCCTTTAATCGCTAACCCCGTGCCTTCTGACAGTTCCCTGGGGAAGAGGTGATGTTCGGAGAGCGTAATGCTGGGGATGCTGGATGAGGGCTTGGGGAGGATGATGTGACTCGAATAAAGGGATGTGGCAGCCGGACCGGGGATCGCATCCAGCCCGCCACGGCTGGGTGGGGGCTTCGGTGGCGCTTCCTGCAGCTTTGCTGCTCCTGTGGCTTGAGATCCCCTGCCAGTCAGGCAGTGACCAGCAGCCCTTGAATTGACTGCCCCAACTTAACTCAGTTAACAGGAGGAGGGAGCTGGGGGCTTGGCTCAGGGAGAAGGGAGATTCCCTGCTCACATCACCCTCTGAGAGCCATTTTCACTCCTTCCCACTTGACTTCTTTTTCCCCCTCCCTCTGGCTCCCTGCCCTCCTGCAGAGATCATCCTGCAGGCTTTTGCTTTAGCAAATAAAAACCCGATGATTTCCACATTCTAGTGACCCAGCGTGGCAGGGCTGTGCCAGGCTGCTTTGCCCTTCTCCCATCCCCGTGGAAACGGGCGGTAGGGGCCAGTGGCTGTAGGTCACGGTACGCAGCCTTCCCGTCACCGTGCAGGTTTCTGAATGACCTAAGTACAGATTCTGTTTCCTCACTCCTCGAATGAAGCACCTTTACCTTAACCAGATGGTTTTGCTTCAGATCATATAAATCTTTCACCTTTTACTGAAGATTTCTATGGAGAGGAACAGGCACAAGCATTTTTTTTTTTTTTTGGTCAAGTCCCCATCCCTGGAGGTATTTAAAAGCCAGGCAGACGAGGTGCTTAGGGACATGGTTTAGTGGTGGGATGGCAGTGTTAGGTGTAACGGTTGGACTCGATGATCTTAAAGGTCTTTTCCAACCTAAATGATTCTATGATTTTTTTAGGGCTGGATTTGTTCACTTCTAGTAGTGGATTTTGAAAGGAGAGGATCTTTCTGCAATAATCTCCTGGGGCGATCCTGCTTTTGCCTGCCAAGGAAGCTCGAGTGCCTTTGTGGCTGTTGTGACGCAGGACAGACTGATCAATTGCTGCATTAGAATTGGCTTAATTTGGGCAGGGGGAACCCTGCAGTGGTCCTCAGGTGTTGCTCCTCACCGAGAGCAGGGCCCATTTACCAGCAGGCAGCCCAGGGCCACCTCTGACTGAGGTTTGAGTGTTGGCACCAGGAGAGCTCTGACAGCCTCACGCCATACTCACCAAGGTGGTGCAGAGACGCGTGGCGCCTGTTGCCCATCTGCACCCCTAATTCAAGCGCCCCAGGTCTGCTCACGGGGTTGCACAGTCCTGGCCCTGCAGCCTGTGGACACGGGAGGTTCAAGGGCTCCTTCCTCACTGAGCCCCTAGCACCGGTTTTGTGAAGATCTCGGGGCAGTTTCTAGAAAGCCTCAAGGTTCCTGACTGCCGAAGCAAGGTCTCGTGGCCTCAGGAGAGAGCCCAGCAGACGCTTACCTCAGTCTGCTCCCGTTCACGAGCAGGCGAAGGAAGCCCCTTGTGAGGAGGAAGGCAGCGGCGCACGTCAACGCTCCGTTTTGTCAAGAAAGCAAATGGCGTGGGACAGCAGTCGATTATTAGGAGTGCCGAGCGGAAAATATGATGGGCACTTTCTCAGGTGGCGCTGGGCAGTTGTTCGGGGAAGCTGATATGGTATTTGATCTCCTGCTGGACTGTAAATTAAGGATACGGGAAATAAAGCTCCCCACAGCTATCCACAGTATAATGGGAAATTTAGAATTACGCCATATAAATTTATCACGTATGATAAATGCCCCACGCAGGACAAGCCGTTCCCTACCATTAACCCAGCAGCTTTAAAATTGCGGTTTAAAAGCATTTACAGTAAATTACATGGTTAAACCCACTTTTTAATCTCCTCTAATATAACATGCAGGTGCACACACTCCTATTAAGGAATGAAAAAAAAAAAAAACCCAAACCACCTGGCGTGCCCTTTTGCCTTAAGTACAATTATCAGAATGTATTAGGAAAAAAAAAAAAAAAAAAAAAAAAAAAAAACCCCACACAAAACCAAAAAAACCCCACCAAACTCCAAAACCTGGAAGGACCTGAATCGAGAGATCTGGGTAAAATGCTTGAAGTAGCTTGGACTGTATATAATAATAGAGAGAAAGAAAGAGTTTGGCTGTTGCAGGAGTGGAAAAAGCCACGTTTAGCGCTTGTGGCTTAAAATTTTTATGTCAGTGCCCCGCTTTAGAAGAAAGGAGTTAGCGTCTGTCATCAGCCTACAGAGCATGGAAAACTTGCGTTCAGCATTTCAGAGACCTCTTGCAATGTGCAGTCACATCTTCCCAGCCTCCTGAGCTCGCTTCAGAAAGAAAGAGGCGAGATGCAAGATTGCTAAAAGTCAATCCATAACTTGAGCCTGTCACCACCAACAGAAATGCCAAGTTCCCAGCGTCAGCCTGATCCCTGCAGCCTAGGGTCGTGCGGGGGCCAGGGGAACAGGAGAGCGTTCAGCATGGCTCACAGAAGCAAAGCGCCCCTACAGCTGCCCCGGTATTTCCTCTGGCAAGAGCGCGTCAGGATTTCAGCAGCGATGCAGGCTCGGCCGGGCCGTGGGAAAGCAGCGTTTACGTGTGATGGCTTGCACGTAAGCTAAAGCGCTCGCCGGAACACTCTGCGTTCTTGCCCCACGCGTGGCGGTAGCTGGCAGGGTCATACCACTGGGAACTCTTTTAGATCTACAACTGTCAGGCCTGAATCCTGCCGCCTTCTGTAAAATAAGCGCGCGCTCGTTTTCAGCGATGAGACATCAGATAGCCTACAGCCAGGGACTGCTTTTTTCAGCTCCAGTTATCAGTTTCCTCTCCGTCCTGTTAAGTCTGAGAAACCCAGAAACACACCATGAGCCTTTCACACTCGGCAACAATCAAAGGCAAGTGGAGAAACCCCAAAAAAACCCTCCTCTCCTACAGACCGCTTCCTTCGCACGGTTTGCACGAGGTCTTGTCTTTAAGTCTCATCCATGAAATACTCTTCAGCTTATTTATTTGATGTTAATAACGCGCAGGCCAGTAAACCACTCTGCACAGCCAGCTGCTGTCTGTATTCTCCCCCGGACTTCATCCTCCGAATGTATTTAGACAGGACAAGGAAAAATAGGCCAAACACTTCAAATTAATTAAGTAGCTTGGTCAGTTGTGCCACTAACGACTTCCTTCAGCATGAAGTGATGAAGTGAACCCTGGTATTTAATTAGCTGAAGAGGCACGCTGTTGTTATTCATAGTCTCTGCATAGTTGCACTAGAAACCGTCTCGAGGTCCCAAGGCCATACCCACACTCACCGCCCAAAACTAAGCCCTCTGCTAAGTTCCCTTTTGTCCTAGAGTGCAGCATGCGTCCTTCACGGTGCCCAGAGAGTTTTCGAAGCGTGCAAGATCATCCAAAATACTTACTCTAAAGCACACACATCAAATTAAGCAGGACTTTTATTTTTCTTAGCCGTACAATCAGAAGAGCTCCAGTTTACAGACACCGCTTCAGCAAAGGATTTTTTGTTGAGTTCACCTCCATCCCTTGATTCGTATCGGACAGGCGACCCTCGCGTCCGAATGGTTCAAGCATTGAGGTATTTTGCATGGTGTCTGATGTGGTCATTAATAAATGTAGCAATGAAAAAATAGCTGTGATCGTAACCCTAGAAAAGAACAACAACAAAGCAAACATATAGTGCATGACAAAGCAATCACACTAAGCTCTCTTCTAGGGAAGTTAATGACTCTTCTGGTTTGATCTAAGAAATCAAAAGTACCTGTATTATATATAAAAACTGTATGGGATACATAACTAACAGGTTAAGTATACATGAACACTGGGAAGCTAAACAGAATGCACCTTAACCTGCCCTAATCTGGGCACGTAATTTAGAGATGGGTAACAGCAAGTGCCAGCTGCAGAGCAGGATGTGAGCGGAGAGAACAGGCCCCCTCACTGGCATTGTCCGACCAGTAAAACACGGGGTATAAGGAGAGCATGGCCCCTGGCTGAATTACTGCTCCAGCACCACGAATGACAGGTACACCTCTGAACTACCCCCCTCTGTCAGGACTAACAACTGGGTCCTTTGGTGTGGAGCTTATGCTAAATCAGAGAGGACAATCCCTCATTTTCCACAGCTGGGCCCCTCCCTGGGTCTGGCTTGAAGTCATCAGTCGCCCCCTCAGGACAGTGCTGTTCTGGGTCACTGCAAAGAGCAATCCTTCCACCCAGGTGTTCAAATGAGTCCCAAGATTTCAGGCAATTCCACACCTTTCCTGATTTATGCAAGCACATGCAAACTAAATCACAGAGTTTCATGCTGAGCGCAATACCCACAGTACAGGTAAGGAACCCAGCAAAAGTACATCTGTCACTTTGCTCGTACAGTGACTGTGATACTTCCAAAAAACTGTTAATGCTGCTTCAGCCCACCACTGGCCGCTTGAGTTAACCATCCACGGATCGGCTTGTTGAAACTAAAATCATGACCCCACCTAGTGGTGAAATGCAGCCGAATCTGAGGGATATTGCACTCCTCGATGGCTAGTGTGAAGGAAAAAATGCCACTTCGCACCCTCTTCCTCACTTGGCCAGGGACAGACTCGCAGGTAAGTGGGAGCGTTGCCCCATGAAGAGACGTCCTCTTCGCTACCTGCCACGCAGACCCCAAAATCACAAAGCGACAAGGCAACCATCAAGGACTGCTGAAGCAACTTGCCTGCTGCAGTCTGAAGACTACTGGGATTTTCCGCTCTGTGCAGGCAGCGATGAAGTTATCCGGCAGTAACTGGCCCGCTGAGAGGAACTGGTCATCTTTGCCTTGATCAATCAAGATGTCCAGGTGAGAGTCTGGGTAGGACTTCACAAGCTGTGTAGCATCGTATGCCTGATGAAATAAAAGAGAAACAACATTCGGTTACGTATGTTAGACTGGGTCAAACTTGCTGATTGCAGGAAAAGAATGGCATGTGCAGACTACTGGATGATACTGATCAGGACACCAAATTACACTTTAAAAGAGAAAAAAAATGGGGAAATTCCAGACAACTGAAAAGTAACACCCATGTTTAAAAAAGGGCAAATAGTACGATCTAAGCAATTACCAAGTTGGCAGTTTGGCCAAACGGAGTATCCAGCCCAGGGCTCAGTTCATACAGAATCGAAGAACAGCAACACAGAATCATAGGATCATTTGGTTGGAAAAGACCTTTAAGCTCATCGAGTCCAACCACAATATAATCTATATATAATATGTAATTCACATGGTTGTACAAAAACTGGATCCTGCCAAAATAACTTGGTATCTTGATGTAACTATTTTGGCAGCCAAAGGTGAAAACACCCGTGTAACACAACTATACACATGGAAGGTATTTAACCTGAAGGTTACTGTGATCATTTGACCACGAAAAACTTTGTACAACTGAGAAACAAAAATGGCACACACCACATGAATTAAAAGACTATGAACATACGTGGCTCAAAATGTAATTGTGAACGGGGAACACGTTCCCTGTGGAGTCCTGTGCTTGGTACATGCTCAAAAAAAAAAAAAAATCCTTTAAAAAGATAGAGAAGTGTTTAAGGCAGTGGAGAAGACAGACCACCACCAGAGAGCAAAATGCAAAGTCCTACACCAAGGCATCAGAGCCACGCCTGCAGGATGCCACCAGATCCAGAAATGACACTGCAAAGGAAATGGGAGCTTGGACTCAGCCAAGCACTGTGGCCATGGTGTAAAATGGTCCTTGCACATA